CATTTTGGAGACTCTGCTCCACAGAAATGTGTTAAAAGCTTTAGTTTCGATTCACAGTTTTTTTTTAATCAAAGCTTCCTTTTATATTATTAACGAACCATAAACATAAGTTAAACCACACAAACCGTGAGATTTCTCCTATTTCGAAGTCCACAGACTTCTCCGTTAAAGTTAACCTTGCGTTCTCTATAAAGCAGCGGGTGGTGGTCGCGAAGATGATCCGTAAGGTTTGATGTGTTGCCCCCTTTCACCGCTATTTTCTTTCGGCCTGTTCTGCAGACAGGGTGGTCATCTGCAGACAGGGTGGTCATCTGCAGACAGGGTGGTCATCTTCAATTAACTTTCCTTCTGCATCCTTATAAAACCCAAAACATGACCAAACGTCAGACTTGGTCTTCTTAGAAAGCTGAAATATCTCAGAATCTCTTTATCTACATTCCGCCATGTTCTCCCTTCTCCCCCTCCCCCTCCCCCCCCCCTTCCCCTCCACACACACACACACACGCACACTCTCACACACACACACACACACACACACACACACACTCTCACACACACACTCACACACACACACTCACACACACACACACTCACACTCACACAGAGCTGCGTCTGAGAGATGATTCTGCCTTTGTTTGACTCTGTACAGTGAGATTTTCACACCGCGGTAATCGACCACGGTTTTACCGATACTTTAAAGTTCAAACGGTACTACTAACCGTCATTAATTTACCGCGGTTTACCGTGAAACCGGTAACCGTTTCATCTCCACTGTGTTACAGATTTTTTTGGTCTTTTCAATTTAGCAGGATGTTTTTTTGCTATAGTTAATGCTGTAAGTAATGGAACTGTATCTTTGACTGATGATTCTACTTCTGAGGGGTCTCCTAGGAGGCATAGGGAGGGTGACATTGGAACACTGCTCCCCAAATATAGAGATAATTTTGAGGTTATATTTTCCCAAAAACGGTGGACTGGTGTGCAAATCCAGAATGCATGAAAATAGTCACCTGTTTTGTTAGTTATACATTGTGTACATATGATTGAGTCCCATTTTAAACAGTTTGTATTGCGTAATGTGTGTCCTATGAATAATTTTATACTGAATTAATTGTGTGTTGGTGTTTTTACTCATAATGAAGATATTTTTACAGATTTGTGTCCAGAATTATGTATCAGTGCTAATATCTAAATCCTTTTCCCATTTATTAGTTGGTATTGATATGGTTGAATTTGAAGTAGCTATGAGAGCATATAACTTTGATAAAACTTTCTTAGGGCTGATGACTTGACTTGACTTGGTTTATATTTTCAGTAATGGGAGGGGGACTAAGATTGTTGTGAAAAAAATTCATTTCGATTTTAAGTACACTTTTTAATTGATAATACTTGAAATATTGATTTTCCTCTAAGCCAAATATTGCAGTTAGTTCTTGGAAGCTTTTAAATGTGTTATTCGTAAAGAGGTGTTGTAAATGTGTTATGCCTTTTTCTTTCCATTTCTTGTATATAAGGGGTCGTTTGTTAATTGTAAAGTCTGGATTGTGCCGTATGGGTGTATATATGTTAGGTGTCTTTTCAAAATTTGTTAGTTTATTAATTTTCCACCAGGCTTTTAATGTTGATGAGATTGTCATGCTTTTAAAACATTAATGATATTTTATGGATTTGCTAAGAAAAGGTAAATGGATGGATATTTCATTGCAGTATGACTGTTCTACATCAAGCCAGGGGTTACAGTCATCATCTGTTTGTCTCCATTTTACTAAATAGTGAAGCTGATTTGCTAAATAATAAAACTGAAAATTCGGTGCCCCTGGCCCCCCTTATTTTTGTCTTTTTGTAAAGTTGTGAGTTTTATGCTGGGTTTCTTATTTCTCCAATAGAATTTTGATGTTAACGTGTCTAAATTGTGGAGCCATTTTTAGTTGGTTCAGTTGGCAACATTGCAAATAGGTAATTGACTTTTGGTAAAACTGTCGTTTTGATTGTTGCAATACGGCCTATGAGAGAAATTGGTAAATTCATCCAGTGATTTAGATCATCTTCTGTTGTTTTTAATAGTGGTGTAAAATTAAGGTGGAATAACTCTGAAAGCTTGGTGGTTACTTTTATACCTAGATATGTAATACTTCCTGTGGTAGTTTGTAAAGGGTAATTTTGGAGAGCAGCATTCCAGTTCCAGTCACCTATTGGTAACGCTGTTGATTTGTTCCAGTTAACAGAGTAATCTGATACATGTGAGAAACTATTAATCAGTTTAATGGGCTCCTTTATTGATGAAGTGGGATCTTGGAGAAATAGTAGCACATCATCTGCATAGAGGCTTATTTTATGAGCAATACTGTGGGTTGAAATGCCTGTGATTTTATCATTCTGACGTATTGCTGTGGCTAGTGGTTCTATGAAGACTGTGAATGAAGTGGTGAGAGTGGACATCGTTGTCAGTCCCGTGAGAAAGTGTAAGGCTTGATGAGCTGATGTCATTAGTTATAATGGAGACCATGGGTGATGAATATAGTATTTGAATCCAGTGTATAAACGATGTACCAAAGCCAAATTTATGTAATGTACTAAAAAGAAAATCCCAGTTTACTTTATCAAAAGTTTTTCTGCATCTAAAGATAATTGTTTTCCTATTACTTTTCTTTGTAAAGTTAATAAGGGTGATAAGACGATGTGTTATTGATGATTATCTCCCTTTTATAAAGCCTGTTTGATCTGGATGGATGAGACTGGATATAACTTTTTCCAGTCTTGTTGAAAGTGCCTTTTATCATTTTTAAGTCAGTCTTAATTAGCGATATTGGATGGCAGCTTGAGCGTAGTGTTGAATCTTTATTTGGTTTGAGTAATACTGAAATCGTGGTTATTGTGTGTTTTTCTTTGTTTTGTTTTAGTTGGTTTGCTAAGAATTTTCCTGATTTGTCATTATGCTCAAAGTGGTTTTGTCTCAGTCGTGAGAGTAAAAATAGTGTTTTTTGATCTATAAGAGAATCTAGCTGGGCTTTAGTTTTGATAATGTTTTTAAGAATTTTTTTCTGTGGGATTTTCTGCATATGAGCTCTGGAGTTGCTTTAAATGTTGTTCTAGGCTGCTTTGCTTTTCCTGATCCTTCTTTTTCTTATGTACTGATATGATTTTCCCTCTCATCACTGCTTTTGATGTTTCCCGTAATAGTATGGGAGAAGTTTCTTGTAGATCATTGGTTTCCATAAAAGATGTCCACTCTCTTTTAAAGTAGGTATCGAATTCTTTGTCTATGATGAGCGATGTATTAAATCTCCATCTTGGCCTTGTTGCAGTTTTTTCTACGTCATTAAAATTAAAAGTAATACGGGGCATGATCAGAGATTACTATGGGATGGATTGTTGACTGTGATATATGTGGTATGATAGAGTTACTGGTAAGAAATGAATCAATGCGAGAGAATGAATGATGAACCTGAGAAAAATCAGTATATTCTTTAACTGATGGGTGTTGTAGTCTTTAGATGTCTCCTAGTCCAAAGTCCTCCATGTGTTGTTGTAGTATTTTAGTAGTGTGCCAAATCTTTGCATTGAAGTTTGATCTGTCCTGCTCTAAATTTAATACTGTGTTAAAGTTTCCTCCTGTTACCAAAGGTGAATTTGAAAAGTCTGATATCGTAAATAAGTCATGATAAAATGCTGGATCATCTGTGTTTGGTCCATATATATTTGCAATAATGATATCCTTGTTGTTGATTGTGATTTGTATTATGATAGAGCGTCCTTGTGTGTCAGATATTGTTTTTTTGTGGCTCAACTGAACATTTCTGTGTACCAAGATAGAAACTCCTCTTTTTTTGGAATTGAATGAGGATGAATATATATGGTTGAAATATTTTTAATATATATGATATATAATATATTTATATTTAATTGTATTTATATTTAATTTAATATAATATATAATAGTTTCTTATGTTCAGTTTCTAAAAGATGAGTTTCTTGTAGGAGACAAATGTCTGCTTGTAACTTATGAAGGTGGTTGATGATTTCAGTTCTTTTTATTGGTGCATGAATGCCTCGTACGTTCCAGCTCAGAAACTTAATGTTTGCGGTAGACACTGTAATGAGAGATGCACAATGCAATCTTTATAATCAATGAGCGTTACCAAATATCTTTTTTATAGATGATTATTAATGTGCTGATGAAAGGGGTGATCCTGATAACCAATTCTAGTATGTGCATGTAAAGTGAATGATGGTTGACTGAATATTGATGTATTACATTGACTTGAAATAAAGCACCAGCAGATCCCAAATAGCATTCTATACGTACATTCTCTCAATGAGATGGGATCGAAAGAGTGACTTTACAAATTCAGAAACTGTGTGAAATTAATTTCTGCACTGTGTTAGTGCAAAGATATTAATAGAAACATTTATATATCATTGTAAATGTGATTAAAAGAAAATTTGATGCGCCAGAACATGCGTTGACCCCCAACGGTTAAGCAGTATTATATAATGATATGCACTGCTGGTGCATGTTCACAATAATGATAATAATAATAATAATTTTAAAAATGTAAACAATAAAGAAGTGATGTGTTTATTCTGAGCTTGATTTTATTCTGGTTACAGTTCAGGTACTGGTATGTTTAATGCTTTATTTTATGTTAGAGGAGCTTCACAGTTTTTAATAAAACTTGCATTGCTTGATGGCTTTTTTAGAGCAGTTTTTAAAATATAATATCAAGATATCATAAACCATGATAAATGTTAGGCAAATATGATGTAATTTCGTCAATGTGACATCAAGTATTGCCAGTGTGAATGCATGACAGGGAAACTGGGCAGACATTGGCACAGACATGTATGCCAATCAGTCAATAGCATTTTCCTCATGCTTTTATTTATGAAAGTATTATTTTAACACAAAACTCATAAAGATAAAGCTAATAAAAAAGAACTTACTTCAGTTTGGCTCCCCTTGTTTTAATTGTACTATATTCTGTGTTGTTCTTTTGCAGACTTGCTGGCTGTAATCTCACCAGGGACTCGTTTGAAACTGTCTGTTCTGCTCTACAATCAGCAAACTGCCCCCTCAAAGATCTGAACCTCAGTTCCAATGACCTGCAGGATACAGGAGTGGAGCTGCTCTCTGCTGGGCTGAGGAGTTCACACTGCAAACTGGAGAAACTCAGGTGAACTTTCTGTGAATTCATTCTTATTGTACCTGTATAACCACCAACACAGTAATGGTACAACTATTTTAAAAATGAAGTTCAGAACATAAAGATGTTTTACCTTTAAACATAGTTTTATATACAGTATCACAATATTATGAACTGTGATAACAGATTAGGTAATTACCATGATTATGTCACTTTTTTAAATTTGCACATTTTTAGCTTTGCTACAAGGTACTTTTTGAATATTTGAATATATATTTCAGTATTAAAATAAGATAATCTACAGAAATTCATTGAAAAGTCAATAACATGAACCTCACTGGTTACTTCTTTGTTATGCTTAGTTACTCAAATGGACTGTTCTTATATAATATGATGGAGATAATAATCACCAGTATGTAGAGTTAATATAATTATTATTTTTCTGTTTGAGTTACTTGTTTATCTCTTTGGTTTTGGGATTCCAGGGTCTATTTTTAAATATGCCAGAAATATAGACATTTGCCTAAGAGGACTTGTAGTAATCTAATTCCACTCAGTTCACAGGCGAATGTAGTTAAAATATATACTTAAGGATTCAGTGTTAAGATGTAACATACAAAGTGAAGAATGGGTTACAGGAATGTCTATTAGAAACTTGTCTGTCTCTGTGTAGGCTAGAACTGTGTGGGATTAAACCCAGTGTGGTAAAATGGAGAATATAAAGTGTTAGCATGATGCTAGCAAAACATAACAAATACCCAAGAGGTCCTATTAGAAAACAGTATTATTTAGCAGGAGGTAAACAAATTCTACTTTTAAAGTAAAGGTTTCCACAATAAGCACTGTTATGTAATGTGCTTGATTATTTAATCATTCTGATTGTAAAAGTTTCCACAATAAGCACAGTTCTGTATTATGCATGTCTGGTGCATGTTCATGATTACATCATAAAATAAAGTTATTTAAATGTTTTGGATCACCTGCATAGCTCTCAGTTGGAAAGATCTATTGCAGGGTTTCAACTCCTGACATATCTGTGCATATATGTTAATAATTATTCACACAGTGAATATCATGAGTATCATGCAGGGATGGGGGAGCAGCTAAGTAGTGGGCTACTTTTTGTAGTTAACTACACATTTTTGTAGCTAATAGCTGTAGCTGCTACAGTTTTATGAAATGTAGCTAACAGCTACATTTGTGTAGCTATAGTGATAATTTTCGCTACAATTTCGCTACAGGCTTCAGGAAATCCGTGCAAAATCTGAACCACAGAACGTGGCCGTTAATTGGGTCTGGCGATTGTGCAATCCTGACTGAGCCGCGGACGGTCGGGGCAAACGGTCACGCACTGATCACCTCTTACCAGCAGGCTTAGCTCAGGGGTCGCAACCGAAATGTTAAGAAGAGCCATTTTGTCCTTTCAACAAAAACCAAACCACCTTGGGAGCCACAACATTTTATGTCTGTTTTACCATCATGGCTGTTAATATGTCTCAGTAAATGCTGATGTGCTAATATAGACTAAAAATATAATATAAACAAAAACACAGATTTACTTTAGCTCTGCTTTAAGCTTTAGCTCAGCTATAGCTGCTTTTCTTGCATCTCAGGAAATTCTCCACGAGTTTTTTGTGAAATGTCTTTCAACGTTCAACGACTTTCAAAGCAGCGTTTCAGTCTTCAGCGTTAAAGGTTGGTGAATGGTTTAAGACCATTTATTGTGAAAACTGTGTTAGAACTGTGTGTTATAATGATTTTACAGTGAAGGAGGATGATGTTATTTTACCTAAAATCACTTCTCTGGTCTGTTCAGGTTTTACTTACCCTACACATTCCTTATATGCAAAACATACTTGGCAAAACAAAATGATTCTGATTGTGAAAAACAAGGAGATGATGAATGTGTTTCTGACAGAGACATAATAATGATCATGGTCTGTTTAGTCTATTTTTACCTGCCCACTCTTAATGATATACATCAGTGATGTTATGTGGTAAATCACACATGCATATTGGAACTATATCTGGACCTTAATGGGAGATCAATGCTTGGGCAGTGTGAAAGTGTGAAAGGAAAATGGGAGACACGGTTCAATAATCAATCAATAGATGTCTTTTTTAAATATTGTAAGAAAGTATTATTTTGCACACAAAACTCATAAATTAAACCAGTAAAGAGGGGTTTTTAATTTTTTGCTATTTATTTTTCATTTTCAGATTAGCATCCTGTAAGCTTGGTGGCGAAGCTTGTGAAATTCTCAGCTCTTTTCTGCAATCAGCAAACTCCTCTCTGAAAGATCTTGACCTCAGTAGCAATGACCTCCAGGACTCCGGAGTGAAGCTGCTCTCAGTGGGATTGAAGAGTTCACACTGTACACTGGAAGTGCTGAGGTAACAAAATAATTAAAAACACTAATTAATTACAGTTTATTGCATTATTTTGTGTAGTTAATCACCATTTGCTGTTGCTTTTTGCAGCTTGTCTATTTATCCATAGTTCTTCTGCAAACACTGCCCAGTTTGGTTTGTCAAATTAGTAATATTTCCACATCAGTGGTACATTTTGCTTGTAAATGATGCTTGAGACTCAGGGTACTTTGGTAGTAAATAAATTCAGCACAGCAGTAACTGGAAATAACTTTCATAAAGAGAGCCATTTATTTCAGCAAGAGGGCTGCAGTCACGGAGCAGCTGGGCTTCAGTCTGATCTGGATAATTCAAGGATCAAACTAGGAAAATGTGTTAATAAAAATATATGTGGCAGTAATAATTTAACATTGTACATTTACACACACACACACACACACACACACACACACACACACACACACACAGTAATATCATTCTTACTGGGGAACCACCTCTCCACATTTCCTCTCGCTCCACATCTCCTTTCAAATATTAGAGGGTTGAATTTGAGGAAATCTGATAGAGATTTGATGAAGAATTATGTGAACATTAAAATCTGATCTTTTCAAATCAGGTTTGATCCACTTTCATATTCAGTTCCTGATGATCACATATCCAATACAGGGCCATTTGGAAAATGTGTGCATGCATGTCCTTTCAGGTCAGAGGTGTTTTCACACCAATGACAAGATATCGGTCACTTACAAACATGAGTGTAAACTTTCAGTGAAGAAAGACTGAGAAAAAATCAGAACAGACCATTAAAGCTTGTAATGTGAACACAGCCTCCTTTCATTTGGGGAGGCAGCACTGACTCGTTTGACTTTCACAGAAGATATTTTTAAACTTGACATTTGTGTTTACTTTGACACTAATACTGCTAGAATAGTGGGGGTCCCCCAGTATCAGCCACCATCAGTCAGACTGGGTTTAACTCATCTTTCTGCTGTAGACAGTGTAATTTGTTTACAGTGAGATTAAGTTTGTCCTGTGGAGGCAGCTTTACTGTGTGTATGTAACACTAGTTACCATGGCGACAAAATTCACCTCGGCTCAAAGAAAACTAACCAGTAAGATTTTTACACTGAGACAGATATTTATTATATTAATACATCAGCTACAGTTAGCTGACTCGCTAAGTACGTCCACAAAATGACCTAATACATCAGCTACAGTTAGCTGACTCGCTAAGTACGTCCAGCTACAAGTTAGCTGTCTCGCTAAGTACGTCCACAAAATGACTAAGACATCAGCTACAGTTAGCTGACTCGCTAAGTACATCGGCTACAGTTAGCTGACTCGCTAAGTACGTCCACAAAATGACCTAATACATCAGCTACAGTTAGCTGACTCGCTAAGTACATCGGCTACAGTTAGCTGACTCTAAGTATGCCCACAAAATGACCTAATACATCAGCTACAGTTAGCTGACTCGCTAAGTACGTCCATAAAATGACCTAATACCCCTGACAAAAAGTCCTTTGGTAAAAATATACAAATAACTGTTGTATTTTTCCTGTGGTAAATACAGTCAGAGTACAGTACAGTATTATGTGGTATTCCTGTGGTATTTTGGATGCTTTACCACAGGTTATTGTTGTTCCTGTGGTAATTCCTGTCATATTCCTGTGGCAGATTTATGGAGCTGGTGTCATATTTCTGTAGTATTCTCTGGTTTCCCTGTTGGGATTTTGTAGTACACTCTTATTCCAAAAAGAATGGTTCTTTAAGGGTTTTTTAGTAAAGGCAATGGTTCTATATAGAACCGTTTCATGTTTAAATGGTTCTTGCATGGTGAAATGGTTCTTAAGATTGATGGAAAATACACCGATCAGGCATCACATTATGACCACCTCCTTGTTTCTACACTCATTGTCCATTTCATCAGCTCCACTTCCTATATAGGTGCACTTTGTAGTACTTTGTATTTTGTAAAATTATATATAGAACCTTTTTGAAAATGGTTCTATATAGCACCAAACATTTTGTTCTATTTTTACACAATGGACATTGTATCAATAGAAGAACCATTTTGGTGCTGTATAGAACCATGTACAGCATAAGCTCCATCAACCTGAAGAACAAGTTCACCATTAAAAGAACCATTTAAGCATAAAATGGCTCTGCATAGAACAGAACCATTACCTTTACTAAAGAATCCTTGAAGAACCATCTTTTTTAACTGTGCACGTTTGCAGTGACTAGTAGTAGATCTGTAGTAATTCTGAAAGAAAAGTGTGATATTTTTACAGCAATCCTGTTGTTTTACTGGTATAATCAGAGCGTTCTGTGGTGGTCAGTCATTTGTGGTACTCTTACAGAACGTCCAGTGTCCTTGTTAGGGAAACAAGCTTGTCATCAGCATGGAAAGCTGGTATGTTTACAGTCAGACCAGACCAGAATCAGAAGTGTCTCAGTGTTTGTGTGGTGTGATCATAACAAGTTAAACAAGAACTACTTCATTTCTGTATTAATGTTTTTTTTTATTAAACAAAAGTAATTAATACAGATTAAGACCATTTTAAGACCATTCAAACAATATCAGACTGATATGAACAGATACAGAGCAGAACCTGTGGCTCAGTTTTTCTCCCCATCTCCAGTTGATGAACCCATAGACTGTAACTCAGAAACACACTCATCACTTAAATGACCATCTTTTCTCTGCACTGATGTCCATTATTTTCTATAATATAACGTCTCTTTACACTCCTCAAGCTGCCTCTTCACATTGTTTTTGTGAAGCCGTTCCTTTAGAACAGACAGAAAAGACAAATCCAGAAGATACAGATGAGTATCTGAATAAAACTGTCATGTGTGCAGTGACCAAGGAGGCTGGATGTACTTGTGAGCACACTTTAATAAAGAAAACAGACCAGTAGAAACACTGAACACAAAATAACAAACTACTAAGCTTAACAAAGAAACACTGAGCAAACCAAACATGAGGCCGTCACACAACAACCACACCTAACAAAGTGACGAGTAGACCAGACAAACACTGACTGGAACAAAGGGCTTGATAAAGGCTAGAACGAACGGGGAACACCTGGGAGAGGGAGGAGACAGAGACTACAGACAGGTGAGGATCCTAACAGGGAAGGTGGGA